TAGATAAATCTTCTTCATTTGGGTCTTGAGATTCACCAGCTAAATATTGAAACCTATTTTCTCCTTCAACAGACATACTTGAAGCAGCAGAATTGGGTCTTGATTGAGCTTTTTGATCTAAATATTGATGCAGATCTTTTTGAACTAAATTCAAATATTCTTCAATAATTTCATCATGAGATAACTCCTTGCCAGTTTTCTTCATTTGATCCATAATTTGTGTCATTGGACTAAGAGGAGAGACTGTCATGAATTGTCCTTGAGTTTCCTTAAATCTTTTCTGCTCTTGATATAAAATAATTTTCTGATGAATATTATTCACTGTATCTTGAGAATTTAGAACCCCATCTTTATCTTTCTTCATCATCTTGGACCAGAATTTTGTAAGATATAATCTTTTCAACATAGGAAATTTTTCTGGCGTAGAATCCACCTTTGGAATCCATTTGAATATCCATGGAATAGTGAACTCAATAAAGAAATGCATAGAGGATATAACCTCAAATGATACATAATTGCGACTTTTATCTTCCATTAATTTGGAAGAAACTTCAGACCAATCAGTATATAAACCTTTATATAATTCTGGCAGAATTGCAATATTAKGACCATATGAGATCCACCATCGTAAAAACCAATGAGGTATGGTCTGTTTATAAACTTGATCACATACCTTTATAAACCATGAATGAGTCTTCTGGGGATTTTCATATAAGAAAATCTTATTGAAAGCTTCAATATAATCCCAGAAAGTGTATTTAATCATAATCTTTGATTCAGGATGAAAATATTCTTTCTCCTTCAAAGTAGATATACCCCATTCTTCAGCAGTTATTAACCGCTTAATAATAATCTTACTAAAGTTATAAACTTTAGTATTAGACCCAGTAAAATGAGATATTTCACATGTCTGGGTTGCTATTAGCAATTGCTCATAATAAGATCTGGATTTATATGAAGTGGCTGCATATGATGCATTATCCAGATATCTTTCCATTATTGGCCAGGGATTATCTTGTTCTTCCTGTGAATCAATATATCGCAGGACGTCATTATTTTCTAGGAGTAGTATAACCTCCTCTGAGTTATTATAAACATATTCAGAATTATCATGTGATTCACTCTCTTGTATGGCTTGAGCATAAGTAGGGGTATTACCCTTCTTTGCTTTTAAAAATTCCTGAAATTCCTTATAAAGGGGATCTTCAGGTTGAGGAATATTTGAAGAAGTTATAAGCTGTCTGTTGCCTTATTGGATTATAAATCCACGACCACGACCACGGCCTCTTCCTCTACTATTAGTAGGGGAGAGAATTCTTCTAGTATTATGAGGGATCATTCTGCAAATATTCACGAGTGAGAAAATCAGGAAGACTATTATCTGTCCTTTTTCTATAAACAATATTAAAGTCAAATGGCGCTAAATGAGTTGCCATCTAGCAAACATTTGTTTTGAAACATCATGTTTAAAATCTTTATTAAACATATATTTTGCAGATTGACAATCAGTAATAATTGTAAACTGCTGAT